TTTGGGGAGAGACACCGGTTCCAGCCTCAGCCATGGTCCTTGAAGAGATGGCTTGCCGTGTGGCATATGCACGAGGAAAGATTTGTGTGACGTGGCCCACCACTTCCCAGTAGCCTGGCCAGCTTTGGAGGGCTTCATGGAACCGACACCACCTTCAGGGAGACCCACCAGCCCAGCCTCCATCACACTGTGTGGTATTGAAGAGATATTCCCCTGTGTTGAAGTTCCTATGTTTGTACGAAGGCCCACCTCTGATCAATATTAAATTCAGTGTCAGAGGTTTTCTGGAGGCAGTGCCAAGACTGGGGATGAGAAGGAGGTTCTGACTTTAGGGAATCCATTGACCAAAACTACATCCACCTGGTTTATGAAGATGGCACGGTGGTTACTGCTCAGATCCCATCTGGCCTGAGAGGACCTCCTGGAAATGCCCCTGGAATTGAGGCAGAGACGGCCGTCAGTGTTTCCTTGTGGCAACAGTTATTTTTTTTAACGCTCAAAACGAGCGCTCGTGACCTGGGCTTCACGTGCCCCGAGGCTATTTGCTTGGCCTGCTCAGGATAACTAGACAGGTGTTCTCTTTGGTGGTGCACACGCCATCTTCTATTTCTCATTTTGCTCTCCACCATCCCCCACACCGTCCTGTTAGTCACATGCCATGCCCACCCTCCCACCACGCCCACCTACCCGTTCCCTCAGATCCAACATGGTGCCTGGCATCTAGTAGGCACGTTGATTGGTATTTCTGGAATGATGAAATCCAGAACATCGTCCACTTCTGCTCAGTGGGACTTTCAGCCTTGGAGGGCTTCCTGGAGGAGTTGCCAGCTTTGGGGATAAGCCACCAGTTCAAGCGTCTGCGTCAACTCCTGACAGTGGAGACAAGACTCCTAGCCTGTGTGTGCTTGTCGCATGATGCATGTGTTGTACTCGACCTGCCCTCTGATTCCCTCCAGCTCTGGAAGGCCTTCTGGACGTGTCCTCAGCCTCTGTCCTCGGCATCCCTGTGTGGTACTTGGAGAGATAGTAGACCGTATAGCGTACGCTTTATCTGTGACGTATGTAACACGGTCCACTAACCCTCAGTATCAAATCCATCCTCGAGGCTCCCAGAAATGACGTCGTCTTCAGGGAGGCGCCCCTGGACCCAGCATCAGGCCTCTCCATGACACTCGAAGAGATGGTTTTCTGTATGGCATGTTCTTTTCTGCATGGTGCGAAATGACATACTCTCACTCTCCTTATATCAAGTTCTGCCTCGGGAAATCTCGCCATCTCTGGGGAGGAGATCTTGATTCTCTTTCTGGGATCAGTGCTGCTCTCTGGCATTCAATGACATGGTTGACTTCGCGACTCTTGTTTAGTATGACACCATGACCTGCTTCTTCTCAGCATCAAATACAGCCTTGAAGAGGTCCCCAGAGGCAACTTTGCAGACGCGAGCCTTCTTCCAGCCATCACTGCCATCGTGCGGTACTTGAAGAAATGGTTTACCGTCCCACATACATTTTGAATATGTATGTGGGACGGTAAACCGCTTCTTGGTATCCAGCCCAGCCATCCAAACCATCCTGAAGAGAGCCTGAAGTTAGAGAAGCGACACTGATCCCAGCATCCTCCCTGCTCCATGGTACTTGGTGGAATGGTAGCCTGTTAGATGTGTACTTGATCTGTTAATGCTTGCGACAGCCTTCTCCTCAGTGTCAAATGCAGCCTCTAAGGGCTTCCCTAGGACAATGATAACCTCTAGGAAGGTGTCCTGTTTCCACCTTGGTGCATCCCCCCCCCCATAGTACTTGAAGAAGTGGTGGTTGGCACCGCGAATGTTCACGAAGGAGGGCTGTTGTTCCACGTTCTGCCTCTCGTCAGCCTCAAAGCTATCCTCAGATGGCTCCAGGACCGAGTGCCCGTGTAGAGGTGGATATGGGTGCCCGCGAGACGATGCCACACCAGGTACTTGAAGACACACTGACCCGTATTTTTCACTGACGGTGCGTGTACAGTCTATCTTTTTTCCATATCAAGTTTAGTCTTCTCGGGGAAGACGCCCTGGCTCTGGACTCAACATTGCTCCTCCACGAAGATCTGATGGGCCACATATGCTCACAGACGATGTATGGTCCGTGGGTCCGCTTCCTCCCCTCCCTCCAACCCAGCCTTGGAGAGCTTGTGGAAGATGCTGCCAGTCTGACAGTAGAGTCCGAGCCCTGGTTCTGGCGTCAGCGCCGACCTCACGGTACCTGGAAAGGGTTCAACCGCACTGCATGTGTTTGATCAACAGCGTATGTAATGTGGTCTGCTTCATTTCAGTATCAGATATTCAGCCTCATAGGTCTCCAGGGAGGTCATGTCAACCTCTGGAGACAAGGTACTGGTTCTGGCACCAGGACCGCTTTGAGATACCTACTAGAAGTTGACCACGCTTCATATGTCTTACTTACAACGCATGTGACTCGGTCCACCTTTTCATAACAGCCACTGCACCTTGGGGGCTTCCTGTAGGCAATGCTGAGTATCAGGCATAGTGCTCATCCTGGCGTCATCTCCACTCTGGGTCCTTGAGGGGTTTCTCTGTGCCACGTCCACCATGCCTCTAGCAAACATTGCATGGTGGCCTCTCCTCAATACTGCATCTAGCCTCAGAGGGCTTCCGGAAGGTGATGCTAACGAGAGGAAAGAGATTCCGGGTCCGACATCAGCCCTTCCCACGGTACCTGAAAAGATGGTTGACCATAGAACATGCGCTGTCTCTATGTCGTATGTAATGTGGTCCACGTCTTCTCAATATCAAATTCAGTCGCAGAGGGCTTCCCAGAGGCAAAGCCAACTTCGTGGGAGATGCACTGGTCTGGCTTCAGCTCCATTCCCCTGTATGTGGAGAGATGGTCGACCATAAAACGTACGTGATGTTTATGGCGTATGTCCCATGATCCACTAATTCTCAGCATCAGCCAGCCTGAGGGGACTTCCTGGAGGCCATGCCGACTGGGGAGCAGGGCCTGCGTGGTAGGCGCCATCCAGCGCAGATCACGTGCTTTATCCCCCCAGCCAACACTCAGCACTCAATCCCAGCCTTACAGGGCATCCTGGAGGTGGTAGCAGCGGTGGGCATGGGTTTGTGGTCGTTGCCACCCTTGCTGATGGCTGACGCCTCATGATGCAGATTGCAAGGGCTCCCTGGAGGTGATCCCAGAGGAAGGGAAGAGAGGCGGGGTTGGCGTCACTTCCTGGTATTTGAAGACGCGGTTGACCATGGTGTGTACGCTTTATTTATGACGTAGGACACATGGTCTACTTCTTCTCAATATCACATCTCGCCTTGGAAGACTCCCAGGAGGTGATCTCAGCTTTGAGGAAGAGCCACTGCCCTGGTGTCAGTACTGCCGCTGCTTGGTACTTGGAGAGAGGTGGTCCGTGGCGCGTTCGCTTTATTTATGGCGCACATTACACGGTCGACCTCTTTGCAGTATCTAATCCCGCCTTGCAAGCTTTCCTGGAGCTAACATCAACGGTGGGGTGGGGACACTAGGTCTGCGCTCCGTGCAGCTCGGCAGGGTTTGTTTGTGATGCGTTTGTCTTGTGTGTGATGATAACTCACGGGTGGCAGCCTTATTCCCAGCAGACCACGCTGGCTTGGCGGCTTCAAGGGCAGGGCTAACTTGTGGACGAGCAGAGTGGCCTCAACACGTGCCTGGGTACATGAGATGGTTGACCAGAGAGCACACGCTTTATTTGTGCCGTTTGTGACCTGGTCCACTAACCCTCAGTATCTAATCCCCCCTTGGAGAACTTCCGGAAGAAGTGCCAACTCTGGGGAAGGAGACAATAAAGCAGGGCCAGCTGGGCTCCACTAGATTTGGAAGAGAGAGCATCCTCAAGGCGTTCGCTACCCACGTGCCAGATACTGCAAACTTGGACTTGTTTTCAGTAGGATCTTTCTTTGGAGGGCTTCCCAGGTGTGAGGCCATCCAAATTCAGGGGGAGGGGCACGCTGTCTGCACCACCCCAAAGTACTCAAGTGACCCACTGGCCAGGGTGTGTGCACTTTCTTTATGACCCAGGTCACTTGGGCCACCACACCTCCATATCCAGGGAGTCCTTGGAAGGACCTTTGGAGGAGCCCGCCTTGGCTTGGGGCATCCGTGTCTCTATGATAACTGAGAAAAGTTTGCCCTGTGGGGGGGTGAGCCAAAAATGGGACAGCTTTTATGAGCAGCGTCTCTATAGCCTCAACACCCTCTGGCCACGATGCCAATGTCAGGATGTTGAGGATGCCGTCGGGGTCTGCTCCACTGGGGTACTCGGATGGGTGGGTCACGGACAGCATGCATTCATCCAGTGGCTTATGCCAGCACTTCAACCACTGTGGTATCCGATTCCATACTAACAGGACGTCCAGGATTGAATGTCAAGCCTGGGGAAGGATCACTGGTGTCCTGGTCAGTGTTCATCCGTGGTACCTGAAGAGAGGTTTTCTGGGTTTCTGTTTCTTTAATGAGGATGAAACACACCTGGTTAACCTCTTTTCCAGTATCAGATCCCATCTTGAAGTCCTTCTGGTCCAGACCTCAGCTTCAGGGAAAGATGTTACTGTCAGCTTCCGCCCAGTGGACAGAAATAAGTGGTTGACCACAGAATCTGTGCCTTCTATTTATGACTCATGTCGCCTGTTCTACTAACCACCCGTGTCCGATCCGTATTAACAGGGCTTCCAGGACTGGCTGTCAAGTCTGGGGAAGAACCAGTGGCGATTGTATCGGCGTAATTGGTGGTACCTGAGGACAGGTTTTCTAGGTCTCTGTTTCTTTGATGAGGATGAAACACACCTGGTTAACCTTTTTTCCAGTATCAGATCCCACCTTAGAGGCCTTCTGGCACAGATCTCAGCTTCCAGGAAGGGGCGCTGTGGACACGAATTAATGGTTGCCCACAAAGCCTGTCCCATGTTTCTGACTTTAATCATCTTTTCCACTAACCATCAATATCTTATCCATTCTCAGGAGTACTTCCCAAGGGGGTGCCCACCTGGAGGAAGACTGTGGTCCCCAAGATAGCTCCATGCCTGGAACATGCAGGTAGGTTATCTGTGGCTGCATTTATCTTGGACTTAGCCCAACCCATGTTGGTGAATGCCTGTGGCACAGAGAGCATGCCCTGGACAACGTAGGTGGCCTGGACCACTGCCCCTCAGCCTCTGGTTTATTCTGAAAAGATGTCCTAGACATAATGACACCTTTGGGGAGAAAAGCCAGTTCTGAGATCAAGATGAAGCCTCGGGGGTCTCTAGAATTGGTCGGTGGTAGGACCTGTTTATTTCCAACAGGAATTCTGGAGTGGGCTTATTTTAAATCTGGAGGAATGCTTGATTTATGCCAGTTTAGGGGAAAGGGCTTTATCATCAACCCTGGGTCAGGAGAAATAAGCAGAGAGCTGGCCACAGGCCATGTGCTTTACCAGGGACACACCTGGTTCACTTACCATTGTATCTAATTCATCCTTAGGAGGCGATGCTGCTGTTAGGGAAGAAGCTGTCTGTAGGTGGTTCTTCTCTGCGGTACTAAGGAGAGGTTTCCTTTGGCGTACTCGATCTTTTATGACAGATCGTTCCCACCGACCACTCTTCAATATCAAATACCAGCTTGGAAGACTTCCTGAATGAGACAGAAGTTGTCAGCTCCAGTCCAGGGTGAGTGAGCTGAGACGTCTGCTTCCCTTGATCTGCATGGTGTGTCTGACACTGATGCTTCTTACCCCATCCTTTTCAGGAGGACTTCATGGAGGCGACGCCAACCTCTGGGAAAGGAAGTGGTTCTTGGCCGGCTCTAAAGCGGGGGCACAGAGGTAGGTTGTTGGCAGTGCATTTGTTTTGATGGCAATAGGCCGTGACTCAGTTCTGGGCTTTGTCGTGGCATTTGGGGAAGGGGCACCGGGTTCTTGAAAAGGCCCAGGTCTTTCTACTTCAACCCCACTTAGTTTGATGAGGGTCACAACAGTTGCGGTGGCAGCCGTGATCTTTCACATGCAGCACAACCAATCTTTCCTCTTAGATGATGCCCAAACCTCATTCCTTCCACCCGGAAAGAGCCCTGAGGGAAAAGAGAGAGAAAGATGAGGAAATGGGGCAGTGGTGAGGTGCCATCACCTCTGATGGATCCAGGGCAGGTGGCTGCTACATTCTTGCAGGCTGGGCACTCTGGTGGCTAGGCAGGGGTCAAAGGCAGACTGTCGGGGTGGAGGGAGGCTGCATGGCCCATGACCCTCTCTGTCCTCTGTTCTAGAGGCCAGCTTCAGAGACAAGGGAGGGCACAATTGCACAACTTTGTAAGAGAAAACCTGGACTTTTCTTTTCCTTGATTTTTGACTCCTGTCTCTCCATGCCTGTTAGGGTGGGCCTACATCCCCACGGAAATGATAAAGAGTCTGAAGAGATCAGTGTTCCCCCTACAGTGAAAAAATTATGGTCAAAGGCATTTTGCAGCCAAACAGAAAAACCAGTCCAGATTTGTCACAAACATTTGGTGAACTGACTTCCAGAAATGAAAATTGTTTTTCTCCCTTAATTCTACTGAACCAAGTGGAAGGCAGCAGCAGGTGTTAAGTAGTGTTTCATCTGGAGGATGGAGGCCTGGCCCTGTTCCCAGCTGTCCCTACCCTACCTTGGCGCTCACTTGACTTACGACTAACCTGATACCATGCATCTGTTTTTAGAACCAACCACAGCTCACCTGGAAGATTACTTGGACCCATAGCCAATTCCACGCAGGGGCCTGGGTGTCACTCCACTGCAGACCACATCACCTGCCTCTTGACCACAAAATGCGGGATTTATTTGTGAATTCTCTCCTGACGCATTGACCTTGGGATGCAGACCATTGCTGGGGCACTCCCTGCTGAGGCCTGATGGACTTCCAGAAAGAGACTATGGCTCCCCCATCAGGAAGGCTCCAATTCCTGGAGAGTGGTGTAAATAAATGTTCTCTGTACTGGTGGAAAATATTTCACAAGTGACCTCTTTTCAGTATCAGGTCTTAAAGGTTTTCCTGGCTGACCTCCAGAAACCAACCCAGGACTCTCCATTCAGACTCTCCACTTGCATATGACACATGACATCTGGTCTACCCAGGGCCATGTAGACTTGGGAAAACTTCCCAGAGGTGACACCAACGTCGCTGAAGATTCAGCAATTTTGTTTTTGTTTCTGTTCTCGTTTTCTTTGATCAGTGCTAATCCTTGATACTCGAAGGAGAGGTTGTCCGTGTTGTCTTCTCTTTATTTATGATGAAACATACACGGGAAACCTCTTTTTTAGTATCAAATCCCACCCTGGAGGCACTTCCTGCTCCTGATGCAGCCTTCAGGGAAGGGACGTGGCTGCGCTCTGAGTAGGCACGAGGAAGGTGGATTGTGGGTTGTGTGTTGCAGAGTGGGGTGGAGGGTGGCCTGCAGGACCCAGCCCTCCAAGGACAGCTCCTGGAAGGGAAGCCAGTTTGGAGAAGGGCCCGTGTTTCTGTGGTGGAGGGAGGTTGTTCCTTGTGCTTTGCTCCTGTTCGATGCCTCATGGTGGTGGGTGGTAGCTCTTCAGGGTGAGGTCCTGCTCGGATGGCTTTCTGGACACACCAGCCGGTCTCCAGGGTAGCTGAAAGGATGGTAGACCGGTGACGTGCACTTCATTTACGATGTAGGTCACCCGTTTGACTACCCATCAGCACCCAGTCCGTCCGTGGGATGACATCTTGGTGCACATGGCGACTTTGGAAAAGATGTAGGAGAACTTGGAGCCAGTGTGAATCTGCCGTATTGAGAGAAGGGCTGCCTCTTGGCCCCCCCCAACCCCCACCCCCGCCTTTTAAAAATAAATAGAAGCAGTTGTCAATGAATAATCTCTTCTCAGTCAAATCCTTCTCAGGAGGACGGTTAACCTGCACAGAAAACGTCAGGGAGGAGGCCTTGGTGTCAGTGCCCGCACCAGGGGAGGCCCACCGCACAGCACAGGTTGAATGCAGGATGTGTATAGTACCTGCTTCAGGGCTCCAGTCCTCAGGATGGTGTGTGTGTGTGTGTGTGTGTGTGTGTGTGTGTCTATGTGCAATAGTACTAATGTTGGGAGCGTCTGTGGTTGTGATGTCAACTCTCTTCTATGGGGTCTGAAGAGAGGCTGCCTGGTGAGCTTGTCATGTATAAGATGAATATCACACAGCTCATCTCTTTTCAGTAGTAGATTCCACCCTGAAGGATTTCCTGGATGCGAAGCCCAATTCCAGGCAGGGCCATTGGTGTCTGTACCACTACTGGTGAGTGCGTGGATGGGGGACTGTCCTCACAGAGAGGTTTTGATGTGACCTTCTGGGTCGTTATCGCCTAGAATCCAGCCTCTCCTTGGGCGGAGTTCAAGTCCATGATCATGACTTGGGGAAGGAGGCTTTGTTGTCATCACCCATCTCTGTGTCGGTTGTCCAGCTTTGCTTGACTTAGGAGGACCCAAATGGACCGGTTGCTCCTCAGTGTCACATCCTGCTCAAGATGCATTCTGGACGTGACACCAACTTCAGAGAAGGGGTTTTGGAGTCACCATCAATGGGTATGGCTATGGATGTTTCACTCGAGAACATACGTTCAGCTTAGCATGTGTGTCTCCTGGTCCACTAATCCTAGATATCCTTTCTATCCTTAGGTCGACTTCCGGAGATGAGGCCTACTCTGGGGGATGAAGGTGGGACTCGACATCTGTCACCCTTCTCTTGGGCTGGCCAGCGCATTGGTCTCACAGTGATGGCAGGGGCACCAGAAAGTAAGTGGAAACCCAGAGGCTGCTTAAGGCTGAAACTTGGAACTGGCACATCTCTGTCCGTGTCTCATTGGCCAAAGCAAGTCACACGGCTAAGCCCAAAGGCAAGGGGTGGGAGGTACACGCCACCCCCGAGGAGGTTATGGAGAGGGTGTGGAGCCAGTTGATCAGTCGTCCACATGGGCCACCAAAAACGTGCATTCCATTGTTCGTCCGTAGCTCATTAACCTCCAGTGTCCTGTCTGCCGTGGGAACACTTCCGCAAGCTGAGGCGGTCAGCAACGGTAATAGTCAGGGTCATTCCCTTTACTTTGAGGCAGTGTTGTCCGTGAGCCATCGTCTGTGTTTTGACGATCATGAAACATCTCTTCTGGCACCCGTCTCATGAAGACATGTTGCCTGGTGGGCTAGCAGGACCCGCTTGCTCTCAGGAAGTCCGCCGAAGTGACACTACCGCGAAGCAGAGCTGCTGGACGATTCTGACCTGTGGTACTTAAGGAGAAGTTGCCCGTGTCTTTTTCGCTTTATATGTGACGAAACATTCGCGGTGCACTTCTTTTTCAGTATCCAATTCTGCCTCAAAGACTTCTTGGTTCTGGTGCCAACTTCAGGCAAGGCATGTGGGCGCTAGTAGTGGACTGTGGTCAAGATTTTTGCTACCCTGCGGCTTTTCCCTTCCCCAATGTCCCCTGATTTCTCTCATGTCTGCTACGTGGCTCGGCTTGGGTTGAACCTCCCCCACCACCCTACACACACACACACACACACACACACACACACACACACACACACACCAGCCCAGGGCTTAGTGAGTCACTTTATCCCTCCCCCTTTGATGCTGTGATTGGTTCAAAAATGGGCCCTTAACTCCACTGAGTCAATGAGATGCAAGATGTTTGCTGAGGCTTCTGGGAAAGGAACTATCTTTCCCTTCCCTGTGAGAGCTGCCAGAGTAGACCATCTATGTTCCCTTCAGCCTTGTGATGTGATGATAATGTGAGCCTTGAAGCTCCTACAACTATTTAAAGATCAAGAGGAGAGTGCCTGGGACTCTGCATGGGGATGTTATGCAGACTCAGAGGAGGAAACCTATACCACAAAAGGCATATTGGGTCGTTAGAAAGGAAAGGACCTGGGAGACATTGTTTGAGCCCCTGGATCAAACCCTGCCTGAAGCTTGCCCTGCCTCAGCACTTTTCAGTTGTATAAGCCTATCAAGTTATATAAAGCATATAAATCCCTTTATTGTTTAAGCCAGTTTGAGTTGGGTTTTATCTTACTTGGGATAGAAACAGTGATACCACAGTGCTGTGGTGATTGGAAAACCTGCACTTCTTTTCAGTTCTATGTGTCCTTGGTTCAGCTATCTTCAATATCCCAAGGTGGGTTCTTGGTGAAAAGTGACTTTTTCTTGTGGACTTACTGTGTTTGTTTGTACTTCAGAAGTGTTGTCCTCGTGGTTTAATTTATGGATGACAAATAATGCCTGATTAATGTGCTTTGTGTCCAGGGAAGGACCATTGACATGGGCCCCTCTCCAGGAGACCTGAAGGACGGTGGACCCCAGAGCGTCTCCCCTGCCTCCTTCACCCCCAGGGTCCCCTTCTCCCTGGAGGACTTCCTGACAGTGACAGTGACTTTGGAGAAGACATCATTTCCTCGCCCCTGCTGTTCTGTGGCTCTCTGTGGTGGGTTTGCTGTATTTGTCACGTCATATTGAATGGCCGGCATTATAGAACTAAACCACGTCTCAGAGGAACCAGGAGTGCCTGTAAGGAGGGGATACTGGAGTCAGAACCACGCCAGGAGCACGGAGGGATGGTCCAAGGACCGCAGATGCTGCTTCGGTGGCTTGTTTCACCTAATTCGAGGTCCGCGGTTTCCCATCTCTCAAGAGGATGCCTTACTGGAACCACTGATTCACAGAGATTTTCTTTCAGGGTCCAAGACCATCCCGTTTCCTCTGAAATGATGCCCTCCCTCAACCTTTGTGGAGCTGATGTCAAATGGTCTGGAATCCATCTGCCCTGATTATTGAATTCTGCCCATGAGCTCTTCCTGGAATCCTGAAGCAGAGGGAGGCTGGGTTGGTTTGCTTTATCCATGATGACGACTGCGCAGTCCGCCTCTGCTCTGTGTCAACGTCACCTGCGAGGGCTTCCCAGACGCTGCAGGCGAGGAGTGCCATCTGCCTTCTCCAGGGTGAGCAGCTGCCCCGTTGCTTTCGAGCACACGTTGGACACACGGTGTTGGCCACGGCCTGGCCACTGCGCCCTGACACTCAGTATCCCTTCCCCACAGGTGGACCACTGACAGCGAGCATAGTGCCTGCCCATCACTGCCGACCTCTGGTACCTGAAAAGAAGTTGCCCATGTTCTTTTCGCTTGATACGTGACGAAACAAACATGGTGCACTTCTTTTTCGGTATCAAATCTCACCTTGAGGAGCTCCCTGGCCCTGATGGAACTTTGGTGTCGCTGCCTCTCTGGGTATGTCAGTGGAGGATTGCCCCTTGTCCACTGTGTGATGGCCCATTCAGTGTCCAGCCATCCTCAGTCCGGATGCAGGCAATGCCTGCCTCTAAAAACAGGCACGGATGGCGAGGCCTTGATCATATGTCCACTCCCCGCTGCAAGGGAGGCTGGGGAAACATGTTTCCAGGTTCTATTGCTAAGAATTTCCCCCAGCATTTGAGAGGGGTTCAGATGAGAGCAGCCCGCCCCTGAAATAATACAACTAAATAGCAGTAGTGACAACAAAAGCACGGGGACGATGGAAACGATCCACCGGATCTCTCCAGAGACGGAGGTGCATGGTGCCCAGGTGCCTGGATGTTAGCTGTGATTGTCACCTTGGGGACTGTCACCCACACATCCATAGAGGGGTTGATCGGGGACACCTGCTGTAGTGGAGGGTGGCGGTCCCTGTGGTTCTGGGAGAGCGGTGTTCCCAGGGCAGCCATTTTTGGGGGACTAATTCTGCCCAGCCCACCTCTTTCCAGGTTCCAGTCCTGTGCCGGAGGGATGTGCTCCCAGATGCCAGAGAAGGGACGTTGGTGTCAGCCCCCGATCGGGACCAGCACGTGGACATGCCTCCTGAAAGACGCTGCTGTCCAGTCTTTTGGCCTCTGCGCTCCATCCATCTCGAGGCCGTCTTCCTGTAGGAGGTGCCGCGGGGCTCCACAGACCGTTCTGCTCTGTGGTACTTGAAGAGAGGTTTTCCCAGGTGAATTCGTTTTCTTTGTGACGAATCAGTCTTGGCCAACCTCTTTTCAGTATAAAATCCAACGTGGAGGAGAGGCCGTCGGAGCTGGGGCTCTTGGGGTCGGCAGCTCCATAGGGTAAGT